TGCACAAGCCATGTGTCTTACTGAAGTCAGTTATATTTTCACAACTCTTTTGAGTGTTTTCGCTACTGTTCTTTCTACTGTATACGTGAAGAATCTAAACCCCAAAAGGGTGAAAGATCTTCTCTGAAGCTGTGTATCAAGTGACAGAGGAAGGTTTTGAGTCTGGGTCATTATGTGCCCACAGCTTAGGCTGCTTGACACACTCTTCCCAACTTAAATGGGCTGTTTGGGGGGGGGGGGGACATTCCATAGTAATTGCCATTAAGAAAGCAGCATATAATGCATCAACGTGAGCAAATCGGTGCTGAGGAGGAAAAATAAGGGGAAGATCTTTTTGGTAGATTGGATTTTAAGCAGATTTTAGTCTCAGTTTCTGAGACTAAAGGTTGAAAGGATGGAGGGAGGAGCGTATGAGAAGAACTTGGAGGGCCCTCTGGGTGGACCATCCTGGGGAGGGCTGTGTACTGGTAGAGGTGTCGCTGTGCTTGTGTTAGAACCACCCAGAGCTGCTAAAACAGGCAGAGTGTTCGGGTGCTTTCAGGGCAGGTAATGATGTCAGTGGGGAGCTGGAGATGCATCTGTCAACCTCACAGGTGCCCTCATAGTGGAGAAGCCTCATCACTGGTTCCTGCTGGTTCTTGATCAGACCTTCTTGTAGTTCTGCCTGTCCAAAGCATGCATCCATTTAAACCTTGGGAGGTGGCAGGTGCAGTGGTGACAGGGGTCTTCATGAGAGCGACGACGTGTTACAGCATGTCAGATGCCTTTACAGGAAATGGCTGATCAAAGGTGGGCTTCCCAGCAGCTTCCGGGACTATCCCCAGCACCGAGAAGCTCCCAGAAAGCAGCTGACCCACAGTGTTCCTAGATGTTTGAAAGTAAAACGTGGAAAAGTTTCCTGGTGGAAGTTAAACCACTGTGGCTTTGGGGTCCACCCTCACTTTTATGATCAAACGGTTTGGGGGAACATGCCATTACTCAGAATTAGTATCTTTTAAGTCTTCCAGGGTCCTGTGCGTTGGGCTCATCATTGGTGTGAACTTGATGTTCATCCTGATAGAGCTGTACTTACCAGGTGGGACTTTGTAGATTGATTTTTCCTTTGTAAGGCGGTATGGACTATAACGATGACTTTTCTCCGCCATTTCCCAGCCTGGTTGAGATCCTCTTGAATGTTAATCCCAGCCCTCAAGAATCTCCCCACCATATCACAGCCGCGCCCAGGGCACCCGACAGAGCCCCAAGAGCCCCAAAAGCGAAGCGAGTCCCAAGTAACACTTGGCTTAAAGGTCCCACCTGTGTTCACAGATCGTTTTCTTCCCTGGTCAGTTCACACGCACCCTTATTGCCCTATCTGCTGATAAGCTTGGCTCAGTCTGCGGCCTCATAGGCTTAAGTTCCTCTACTGGCTTGTAATCATTAACTTAGAAGTTGCAGTAGCCCCTCACTGGAGGGCAGGCTTCCCTTCACCATCCTGCTGAGTCACTCAGCCTCTTGTGGGGTGAACTGGGAGCTTTTGAGACCGAGTCCCCCGCAAGGAACCCTGGGTGCTGTGTGGGAGGACTCCTGTAGTTTGGGAAAGTAACCAGTTCTCGAAGTCGCCTTGGACCATCAGTTTTCCAGAAACAAGCCCTACAGGGCCCAGGCTTCCTCTCTACTTCGTGGCTGACGTGGCGAAGGTGCAAAAGGTGCGCTGTTGCTTTAAAGTTAGAGCGGGGTGGCCAGCCTTTGCAACCTGAGCTGCACCCCGTTGTGCTGACAGGTTAGTGCTGCCCTCTGCTGGCCTTCTGGAGTCTGTGCTGCTGTCGCCTGAGGTTGCAAATCAATTTTGAAAATCCAATTTTGAAAATTGTCTTCCGTGCCAGCTGCTTTCATGCCTTTCTTCCCTGGTCTGATCTATAGGTTTAGGCCATGTTGGATTTCATAAGGCTTCTTGCTGACCTGTGACACGCACAGCCTCATGGCGCTGGGCAGTTTGCTTAATGGTGGCCACACCACCGCAGAGAGGACACCAGCCCAGGGCCGTGTGTGCTCCCTGCGTGTGGCGATGGCCCCACCACGTCTTGAGGAGGAAGAAGGTGCTTTTTAAAAGAAAAAAAGATTTGTTTATTTTATGCATACAGAAGTGGGGTACAGGCCAGAGACTCAGGGGTGGTGAAAGACTTCAGCAGACAGAGTGGGGAGCAGAACAGGCCGACTGACGAAGTACACCGCTGAGGGGAGCAGCGGGCGGGTCAGGAGAGGTCTGCCGCGCCATGTGGTCACCTCCGGGGCAGGCGGGAATTGAACTCATGCGGTAGTGGCTTTAGCTTCTCAGTGCTGTGCTTTACCCCTCTGCGCCACCAGGAAGGGCCAGAAGGTGCTTTTTATTTCTCTTTTAAACAAAAATTATCTTATGACATGGGTGGAGTAGCAGAAGAAGACAGTTTACTTTTACCTCCTGTCTCATTCTGGGAGATTTCCTCGGAGTTCCTGTCATTTAAATTCCCGATGCTGACCTTCTGAACCAAAGCTCCCGAGGGTTTCTGTGCTGGCGAAGACCTGTCAACAAGTGGCTGGTGGGAGTAAAGGCTGGTGCTGTAAGTCGGCCCCAAGGGAGTCGAGTTACATTTTGTTCCTGATCGGTTCCCTGGTAATTTTGTATTTATATAAAATATTTATATATAAAATGATCAGTATTTTATCTCCATTCCTTTTCTCTTAACACGCAACACCCGGTTTACCACTGGAAGCGTCTGTTATGTGAATTCCTGCTTCAAAGCAAGGGTGCAGGTATTCAGAAGGCAGAGGTGAGGCAGAACATACTGGAAGACTGTGGGTTCAGGCACTTCAGTCGGAGATGCCATTTGTAGAGGCAGACATCGTAGGTGGCATCAGACACCTCCACAGTCAGCTGCCCTGGGGTGCGTCAAGGTCTGCACAATGCCTGCGGGCGGGGTCACAAGGCCTCTGTCCACGCCGCGGCCTCTCAGCCCCAGCCCCCTCGTGCTGATGGACGGCCCTGTGCAGGCCCTTCTGGCCCGGCAGCCTTTGCTCATGAATGCTTACATTGTGCTTGTCGTTGCAGGTTGCTTTATCTTATCATTCTGCTTTGAATCTCACGTCGCTCTGGTGGGGTGAGTAGCTTGTCCTTCATAACCGAGGAGGAGACAGAGACTTTCAGATCCATTCAGTCGCTTACAGCCTGCCTCGGGCAGGGAACCAGCAATACGGCCTGACACTTAGCTCCTCAGACTTCACCGTCTCACCGTCCCACCTTATGGAGTAGGAAACTGAGGGGGACGCAGCCCTGACCTTGCTTTGGAGACAGATTCCAGCCCCGTCGTCATCCGGTGCATGCTCTGACGGACGAAACGGAACGGGCACTCTTGACTCGAGCTCCCGTACCGTCCGTCTGTGGGAAAGCGGGGCTGTGGAGGAGACAGGGCTCACCAAAGGGCCCCCTGCAGGTCAGCGTGGCGGGACTCACGTCTCCTACCGTCTGATGCCTGCCAGACCCAGTTAGTGTCCGAGCCTTCCCCTCCCTGGGTGGATTATTGGGTCCAGCTTAACGCTCATGGAGAGAAAAGCTGGTTTTAAGGGTTTGCTGTTGTGGCCTGAGAGGAAACCCTGAAAGTGGGAGCCAGTTTATGTGCAGAGCTCCATGTCTACCGGGCACCTCCCAGGCCAGGAGAGGTTCGCCCTATACAGTCCATAAGGCACTGAGCTGCGAGTCTGGGTGTGGCCACAGGGGTGTGAATCCTGGTCTTGCCACTTGCAAGTTTGTGTAGCCCAGGGTCAGTCTTACCCTTCCCCAGTCTCTGTTCTCTCCTCTGGAAAATGGAGGTAACACCACCCACCAATCCTGTTGGGTGGTGTGAATGTAAAGTGCGTGGAGGCATGTGCAGAATAGTCTCCGTCTGAGTGAGTCTGTGTGTCTGGCACAGAGCAAGTATTCAAAAATAGAAGCTGTTGCCAGTCATCAGCGTACCATGCCCGCCTCGGTTCATTTTGACCTTCACCCTGAAAAGACATTAGTATCAAATGAAACAATAGCGACTGTGTAGTGTTTTTAAAGCTAGAGGCTGTTTCCACCCAGGCTGCTCGGCAGTTTGTATTTCAGGACCCTGAGATGAAGTATGTGCCCGAGCTGCCGCAGGTCAGTGAATAGCCCCAGCTGAGGAAGCACAACCCGGGGCCCATGGCACATGTAACCCGGCGGGCACATGCATCTGTAGTCTGGCTACGTGCTTGTTAGGGCTGTTGAGTGCTGGTGTCTGCGCCATTTTGAAGCCAGTTTTAAAAGAAGTGTCACAGTGAGATCCAGTCTCCTTGTGAAATCTTCAAACCCCAAGGGAAGTCTCTTAATCCACTTTGCTCATGCAAGAACAGACTGGCCGTGCGCGTCAGGGAGAACAATGAGCTTCCACTGTTGCGCTTCTGCCACACAGGAATTACTGGGGTGGTTTATTGATTCACACTTCAGGCTCCAACTGTACTATCAGATCTGGAATTAAAAATACCAGGAAGAGCAGCTTGCTGAGAAATGGCTTCAAGCACGGCTGTGTAGACTGGGTAATGCACGTTCTCATGGCCCGTGGGCGAGGGACACTCGAGAAAAGACACTCTTGAAAGATGGTTCCTTTACTGCGGAGGGGGTGAGGGGTGGATGGATGGAGAATTGGACAGTTTCAAGTGGGTTCTCTGTTGACAAGAGAGAGTTGTGAAAAAAAAAAAAAGAACATTCCTTTCCAGTTCCGTGGGACCTTGAAAGTGTCCATTGCTAAAATAGAAACAACCCAGTTCACACAAACACAACCCTGCGGTGTCCTGCCCCAGAACACGAAACAATCGGGCTGATTGTTGGAGTCTGGAAAAATGGCAACATGCTAATCCTCACTGTGCTTTCTCCTAGCAGTTGAATGTCACTGACGGACTCACTAAATAGATCAGGGCCAGCTTCCTATGTGTGTCCTGGAAATAGAACGGAGGACTCATCAGCCGCCTTTTTCCTTCTTCTCGCTGGTGAACCATGCGGTCCTCAGCTTGTTAATGTTGTAGCCAGTCTCCTCTGCAGATCCGTTTTCTTGGAATTGGCCTCTGGCCTTAGGAGATTATGTGAAAATGTGCCCAGTCCCGAGCCCTCTCTCAGTGGGTTTTGCTTAAAGCCCTTTGCAGTTACTTAGCGACTGAGTGCCTCAGTTTGCACGCAAGGGCTTGAAAACTCCAAGGAAGCTTACTGAAGCACTTTCATTCTGTGCTTTTTATGCTTTGTCTGCTGAAAATGCCTTGTCATACTGGGCTCACGTGGAGAGACATAGATACAAAAGCATGTAGCTCCTTTGTTCGGAATTTTTGAGATGCATACTTAAAAGATCAGACAAAAAGCTTTCCTTGTCAGTTTGTCTCTACTCAGAGAGCAGGAGTGGGGTTGCATGTGTGTGGACATGCGTGTACCTGCATGATGCCACGTACACTTGCTACATGAGGATATATGATCTTATCAGTTGTAAGTAAAAGAATTAATCCTCTCCTCCTTTTTCTTTGCTTTTGCAGGAATATTTGCCCTGTCATTGAAGTTATCTGATCAGTCATTTGTTTAATTCATTGTCAGTCATGTCAACAGAGTTTCTAATTGGCAAAAAAAAAAAAGCAGACCTCGCGTTCTGGACCCTGGCCTTGCAGGATGATGTGCCGTGGCTGCATCCTGCAAACTTTCCTTGACGTGCCGAATTTCAGTAGCATAACTTGAGGGCTGTGGAGGACTCATCAAGTCATTGCAAAACCAACAGGATAGTTTGTGAGTTCTCCTGTCTTTTCCAGGTTTCAAAGCTTCCATTGGCTCTCCCATTGAAATACTCAACTGCCTGTCACTAGACACAGATGTGCATTTCTTTGCAGTCAGTCAGTGTTGTATCTTTGATAAGTGAGGGCTGCACTTCTCTGGAGTCCATGCTGTTCTGTCCCCTTCTTTCCAGACATAGAACAAAGCAAACAACAGCCTCGCTGCTTCGGACATGTGCTGGGAATGGGTGCTTTTCCATGGTGAGGGCTAAGTTTGGGGGTCTCAAAGGAGATAGTTGGCCAAGCCTGTGTGGAGTAACAAGTGTTACTAAGGCCTGAACCTGCCCTTCCAGACTGGTTAGCATCTCGCTGAACCCATTTGACACCATCACCCACAAACACGACTGGACAAGTGATTCACCCCACACTCACAGCGAGGCTTACAGGCTGTGATGTGAGAAGACTCAGAGGAAGAAACTGAAGTTCAGTGAATTTATTAAGCAGAGAGCGGGCACTAGATGGATGGTCCGGCCAGGATTAGAACCCAATTTTCTCTATCCCGGGATGATAACGCCTCTCCTACACCCACCCCCCAAAAAAGTGGGTAAGTTTTAGGTTAAAAGAGACCAAAGAGTTTTGGTGAATAAGACTCAGTGGATAAGTGTGAATAGAAGATTTGAGTATGAAGCAAACCAAAAAGAACTTGTTATTCTTTGGAGAAAGTGGGAAAGAGCTGACTTTGAATTGAAAAATTGATGACAGTAAGGGATTGTTCATTTTCTTTGCAATCCGGAGTGTGCTGTCCTGCTACACGGGAGTGGCCTTATTTTTTAGGATGACCTCAAATGCCCGAATTAGGAGCAGAATGTTGGCATTCGCTGTCAGCTTACTTTCAGTTGATTCACCAAAACACACATGTAGCTTGGGTTTTGACCATGGAGCTGAAGCAAACAGAGTGAAAATGAGTAAGTGTTGAAGATAGGAATTAGGCATTCATTCCCTTAATTCAAATTTAACATATGTTTGACATTTTTCATAACTTTAAAAAAAACACCCCTCCCCTTTGGTGTCCTAAGTAAGTGACTTCTGGAACCCCAGAGCACAGAGGGAGTGACAGCAGCCTGCCTGGCAGGACAGTACTGAGGGTCAAGGCGGAAGGAGCAGAGACCTGTGGAGATGCAGCTTGTCGGAGACCACTGAGCACGAGTGTCCTGTGCCTTTGGAGGAAGGGGGAGATTCTTTTTCTTTTTTTTTAAATAATAGCTTATTTTTACATCATTTTGTGCCTTTCTCCATCTCAGTTGTAATCCCCATGGGCTTCCCATCACCAAATCACCCCATGTGCTGTTGCCATAGTCCAGTGCAATTCTACCCCCCCCATTTTTGATCCCATTCCCCACTCCGCCCCCATAAATTGTGTCTGGCCTATCGCTGTTCATTATTACTATTATTTTCTCTGCTGGTCCTTTATGCTTCTGCTATGAGTGAAACCGTCCGGTATTTTCCTTCTTTCTTCTTCTTTCACTAAGCATGATCGGAAGGGGAGGGGGGAATTCTTAAGTAAATGCAATATACAACCATAAATCTATATAGGCAGCCATTCTGGAAAAAGCAGACATTAGCCTCCATGTATTAGCATGTATGAGCCGTGCACGACTTTAACCTGCCCCAGTCCTGCTGTCTTTGCATCCCCGGAATTCCCAGAGTGAAAGCACTAAGTTCAGGAGAGCATTTTCTTCAGCTTCTACTAGAGCACTGGCTGGCTCTGTGCTCTGCTTGTGTCTGCCGTGAGGGCCTTCGGCGCCTTTTCCAGTCACCCTGCCCCTGGGTATGTCCACCCCGGAATGAGTTCCTTCTGTGATCTCCCGCGACATCCCCAACAGAAGTCAAGGGTGTGCCGTGGCCTCCAAATGATAAAACTGAACCTCTGTCTGGGCAGCTCAAGAATGAGTCACAGCACTGCCCCCCCCTCCCCCCCAGCAGCAGGTTTGCGTACGCCAGCCAGGCGCCACGGCTCTGTTAGCCCACGGGGAGCCCAGCCTCGGCCAGGCTTCGCCTCCCTTCCTGGGTGGTCTTGAGTTTATCACAGGAGCACGTTCTGAAGACAAAGACGATCCTAAAGCTTCTTCAGGAAGCTGGTTTCATATGGTGGTTTAGATTTAAATAGTGATTGTCTAGCACCATTTGAAATCAGTGTTCTTGGGGAAGACCAGCGGCGTGAAGGGCGCAGTCCCAGAGGGCCTGGGAGCCAAGACCAGCGTGGGACGTCACCACTGACCCTTCCCTCCCCTGCAGCAGCGGTGACGTGTGAGCAGGTTAACTGCGGGGCCTCCTTGGCAGGCCCTTGGGCCCGTTAGCGTGACGGGGCTCACTCCATCTGCTTGGGTGCAGGGACTCATTCTTTGGCTTCTCCCACCCCTCACATCCTCCCGTGACCCCTTAGAGGATGACTGATTTCTTTTGGTGTTCAGAGTCAATATAATTTTCTAGCACCATCTGAAATCGGTTATAATGATTGGGGAAGAGCACCGTGCTGCTGATGAATGAGAGGATATATATGTGCTTGTGACCCGTGGGGCCGCGCGTGCGGGAAGAAACCAGAAACGGGAAGCAGAAATAACCAAGGTAAGCTTTTCTTCTTTCAGGGTTAGCAAGTCACTGCCCTGAATTACATGCAGGATAATGCTAAAAATAAGGGGGGAAAAAAAAGGTTCACTGATAATCTACGGCTAATGGCTATGTGATAGAAAAGTCCTGCAGAATCTGGAGGGAGTTTTGTTTTGATGATAGACATCTAGAAACAAGATAGGTGAAAACCAGTGTCTCAGATTACTCAAAGGCGCAGTGAAGAATAAACTCTGTTCCAGGGAGAAGCTCACCTGGGGCTTGTCCTTTCTGGTGGTGGTGATCTTCGGGCCACAGTCGACCAGGACTGTGCCAGGCTTGGTCGAGCTGGAAGTTCAACCTAACAAACACATGCAGAAAATTGGTGCAGATAACTGTCTTTTTGTGTCTGGGACAAAGCTAATAAGTTCATGCATTTCGGGTTACTTTGAAAAGCAAGGAGGAGAAATCTAGAAGTTCTGTGTGGCTGCTTCTCTAAATTACACCTGCTTAGGAAGCGATGTTGGTGGTCATCGACTGTCTGGTTCATCCACTCCCCTCCCGGGGTCTGAGTTCCTGCCGCTTCCCACCGGTCACTCTGCTGAGACACCAGCCATGTCTACCAGGCATCCCTGACAATGAAGAGGAGGCTGGGGGACCTCCCGGGAGCAGGAGAGAGACCCTGCCGGCCACACACAGCTGCCATTCCTGGCCTGCTCCTACTCCTGCCTGGGAGTCTCTGCTTGTACTTGTCTGGGAAAGTCCTTGTTTCACCTCAAGGTTGGTGTTTGTAACCAGAACATTCTGTCCTCCATGCAAAGTCATGAAAATTAGGGGTAACTTCCTCCTTTGTTTCTGGGGTTACTATTTCCCTCAGAGTCTGTCTTTTGCTTCCTTATCTGCTGTTTTTCCTAATCGTTCTTACTCCCCCAGTTCCAAATCACTGATTTCCCCCCAACCTGGAGTTCTAAGCAAGATACTTTTCCAGAACTCTGTATCTCCTTGTTTTCCAAGATAACATAAGCTGCTATTAGCTGTCCTCAGTGTGTTTAGACCACCCGCATTCTCTTTTCCCCCAAGTCCTCCCTGCTCTGGACACCTGAGAGATGGAGTTTCCCTCCCTTGCCCCTAGCCACACCCACACTCACCAATTCTGGCTGCTGATCCTTTTTTTTTTTTTAAAGGTTTATTTATTTATGTACATAGAACTGGGGTACAGGCCAGAGGTGCTGGGGTGATGAGAGGATTCCCCAGAGACAGAGTGGGGAGCAGAACAGGATATCGACGAAGTACACTGCTGAGGGGAGCAGCAGGCGGGTCAGGAGCGTCTGTGGTGCCATGTGGGTCACCTCCAGGGTGGGGGATCGAATTTGCACTGAAGCGCTGCAGCCAGCTTGCCATGCTGTGTCCTTACCTGTTGCGCCACCTGGGAGGGCCCTGCTGACCCTTTTTAACTGTCCCTTTACAACCCACCCTTTCTCCTTATCCTCATCAGCCTCCTAGGTGGTCCTGCCTCTTGCCTTTAGTGCACTTCTGTGTTGTCAACATTTTTTTTTTTAAGATTTATTTATTTGTGCATACAGAACTGGGGTACAGGCCAGAGATGCGGAGGGCGAGAGGCATCACCAGAGACAGAGTGGGGAGCAGAACAGGCAGATCGACGAAGTACACTGCTGAGGGGAGCAGCGGGCGGGTCAGGAGAGGTCTGCTGGGCCACGTGGTCACCTCCGCGGCAGGCGGGGATCGAACTCATGCGGAAGTGGCTTTAGCTTCTTAGTGCTGTGCTTTAACCCACTGCGCCACCAGGGAGGGCCATGTTACTGACTTTTAAATCAGATTTTAAAAAATCAAATATATCATTGGAACAAATTTTTTTTTTAATTTTTTTTAAAGATTTATTTCTGCATACAGAAGTAGGGTACAGGCCAGAGATGCAGGGGCGGTGAGAGGCTTCACCAGAGACAAAGTGGGGAGAACAGGCCGACTGACGAAGTACACCGCTGAAGGGAGCAGCGGGCGGGTCAGGAGAGGTCTGCTGGGCCACGTGGTCACCTCCGCGGCAGGCGGGGATCGAACTCATGCGGAAGTGGCTTTAGCTTCTTAGTGCTGTGCTTTAACCCGCTCCGCCACCAGGGAGGGCCTGTGTTGTCAACATTTGACACTGGTCACATTCCTCCTCCTCTATAGCTTTTGGATAATGACTGCTTCAGTGTCTAGGGCAGGCCTGGGTCCTTCTCCCAACCCCCACCTCTCCCCCCCACCCCCAACCTCCCTCTTTCCCAGCCACACCCTCTTGCAAGGCTCTCTCTGAGCTCCTTGCTGCTGCTCACCCTCCGTGTTCCCAAGCCTGTTGGCAGACCCCAGTGGCTGCCCACTTAAGCCTCCCACTCCTAGCCTGGAAACGCTGGCCAGTTCAGCTCTGGCCAGATGTACTTGTCTGCGAGGCCCAGCTTGGCTATCCACTCTGTCTGCTCTGCCCTTCTGCAGAAGCTGCTGGCATTTGTCACATGGGCCCATCATGACCTAGTTATTTACCATCTTCTCAGCCGGTCTGTGGTGAAGGATAATGGTAACAGCAGTATGCCCTGTCACATTCGGGACACACACACACACACACACACACACACACTTCCTTTGTGTAGGTACATCTTCGTTGCAGGCTGCTGCTCCCACATTCCATCCACTTTTGCACAATTTCTCCTAGTTTTCATTTGTCATGTGCATGGGGAATGTAGCTTCCGTCAGTGACCTAAATTATACAGTAGAAAATAAACCTGTGTCAAAGAGCCTGTGTTCCTTTCTCAAACTTTTAAGTGTGATTTTGATGGTGGATTAGCTAGTGTTTTCCTCCTTGAATGTTCGCAAAGAATGGGGCCCTACTGGGTGGCACAAGAATTGGAGCACAGCACTGCAGAGAGCCAAAGCTGCTTCAGTGCGAGTTCGATCCCCGGCCAGGGAGCTGACCCACACGGCACGGCAGACCTCTCCTGACCGATCTGCTGCTCCTCTCAGCAGTGTACTTCAGTCAACCCACTTGTCCTGCTCCCCACTCTGTGAGTCCTCTCACCACCCCTGCACCTCTAGCCTGTACCCCATTTCTGTGTGCAGAAATAGTCTAAAAAGAAAGAATTGGGAATGAATATGTTTCATGAGTCAGAAGCCACAGGGATAATTAATCTTGAGGAGAAGTCATTGTCCCTGATTAATTTTTAAAAGAGGACTAATTTTTTTTCTTTTTTAACATTTTCTCTGTCCCACCAACATCTCTTACGCCCCTCTGATCCTTTCTACCCCCCCCACCTTTTTAACCAGAACCCTCACTTCCTTCACTGGTGTCCTCTAGTTTTTGTTTTGTCCGGTCATCCCCAATGTGATGTCCACTGTTTGTCCTGTCCCTCCAGCCTGCTGATCCGTTTGAGCTCCCTTCTGCTGTCAGTGTCAGCACTGTCTCCATCTTTACAGCCAGTACGGCATTGCACGGCAGCCACAGCCTCGATCCAGTAGAAGCTTCTGGCTACGGGAATGTAGGTCCAAGTCCTCACTGTGGTCAGTAAGGCCGCAGTGCGCTTGCAGAGCACGTCGTCTGTTCACGCTGGCCATTGGTGTTTCCATTTTCAGTTTTCCAAGGTGAATCCAGATCGCTTTTCAAAATGACTGCCATTTGCAGGTCCAGCAACAGTGGACCAGGGT